CAAACCCAGGTAGCCTGATGGCAACATCAACGTTAGTGTAATCTCTGACTGTGAAGGGTAGTTTAGTAACAAGATAACTCTCTTATTTCCATATCTATAAAATAAGCCCGTTGGACTACTTGGTCTGGTGTTTCCTCCAGCTCTAGATGCATGATTCTGCATTTGATGCTCACTTTTACTCCCTGATGCCCTTTATTTATAGTTGAGGAAATTGAGGTGTAGAGGGAGGAAGGACTTTCCCAAGGTCACACTGCTAGTTAGTGGCCAAGGTGAGTTTGCTCATGCCCATGCCCATGCCCATTGCTTTCCCATACCAAGTAGTCTCTGGGCAATTTCGGACAGCTTGTTCTCAGAGAACAGGAGCTGTGAGTGTATCTTTCTTTTTTCTTGTGTGAAAAGATGAGTAAAACATTTGAATCCCCCTTTCAACATGTTTAGTTGCAAATAGAAATTATGGTTGAAGACTGGGAAAAATCATCTTAAAATAGGAGTTGGGCAGGAAATTGCCAACAAAATCGAATAGAATCCAGAAATTTGAACAGACAGGTGATTAAACAAAACCAAGTTCACAGTCTACCCTTATGTTAATAGAAAGTATTTTATCGTTGTTAAGTCATTTCAATCATGTCTGACTCCTCGTGATCCCATTTGCAGTTTTCTTGGCAAGGATACTGGAGTGGTTTGCCATTTCCTTCTCCTCCTCATTTTATAGAGAAGGAAACTGAGGCAGACAGGGTGAAGTGACTTGCCCAGGGTCACATAGCTACTAAGTGTCTGAGGCTGGATCTGAACTCACAAAGATGAGTCTTCCTGACTCCACCTGGCTCAATCCACTTCAAGACTTAGCTGCCCATAGAAAGGATAGCGTTCAGAAAAAAGAGCATTGATAGTTCTGTTATATTCTATGTCTCTCAGACTTGATCCAGAAAAGTGCTCAGTTCTTGGTACTACTTTTAGAGAGGGATTTTTTTCCTTAATAATATTTTTCCCAATTACATTTAAAGATGTTTTTCAACATTCATTTTTGTAAAATTTTAGGTCCCAAATTTTTCTCCCTCCCTTCCTTCCCTCCCCCCTCCCCAAGAGAGCAAACAATCTTATATAGGCAATACATGCATAATCATGTTAAACATATTTCCAAATTAGTCATGTTGTGAAAAAGAATCAGAACAAAAAGGAAAAAAAAATGAAAGCAGTATGCTTTGATCTGCATTCAGACTCCATAGTTCTTTCTCTGAATGTGGTTAGCATTTTCCATCCCGAGTCTTGGAACTGTCTTGGATCATTGTATTGCTGAGAATAGCTAAGTCTCTCATAGTTAATCATTGCACATTGTTGCTGTTCCTGTTTTTGCTGTGTCCAATGTTTTCCTGGTTCTGCTCACTTCACTTAGCATCAGCTCATGTAAGCTTTTCCAGATTTTTCTGAAATCCACCTGCTCATCATTTCTTAGAGTACAATAGTATTCCATTACATTCATATACAACTTGTTCAGCCATTCTCCAACTGATGGACATCCCCTCAATTTCCAATTTTTTGACACAGAAAAAGAGCTGTTATAAATATTTTTATGCCAATATGTCCTTTCCCCTTTTTTATGATCTCTTTGGGATACAGACCGAGTAGTGGTATTGCTGGATCAAAGGGTATGCATAGTTTTATAGTCCTTTGGGAATAGTTCTAAATTGCTAGAGAGGGATTTTGACAAGCTGGAATAGGTCCAGAGGTAGAGGAATAGGTCTACGAAGTTGAAAGAGCCAGGGATGTTGAGCCTGAAGAAAAAGACTAAGAGGTTGAGATAGGAGAGAAGAGATGATATAATCTTCAGATATGTGAAGGGTTGTTATATGGAAGAAGCATTAGACTTTCTCTCTCTCTCTCTCTTTTTTTTTTTTTGCCTGACTCCAAAGATACAGGGAGGGTCATTTCAGTATAATAAAAAAAGTCTGTAACAATAAAAGCTGTCCAATCAAAAAATTAGGCAGCTAGGTGGTGCAGTGGATAGAGTGCTGGGCCTGAAGTCAGGAAAACTCCTCTTCCTGAGTTCAAATCTGGCCTCAGACATTTACTAGCCATGTGACCCTGGCAAGTTACTTAACCCATTTGCCTCAGTTCCTCATCTGTAAAATGAGCTGGAGAAAGAAATGACAAACCACTCCAAGAAAAATCTCAAGTGGGGTTACAAAGAGTGGGACAGGACTGAAAAATGACTAAAAACAGCAATTAAAGAATGGATTGCTTTAAGATAGTGAGCCCCCTATCACTGGAGGCTTAGAAAGCTGGATCAGAACTTGTCAGGAATGCCTTAGATAGACCTTCTATTTTAGCTAAAGGTCAGATTAGATGACCTCTGCAGTTCCTTACAAATCCCAAGTTCTATGAGTATATAAAATGTTTTTTTAAAATGGCAAAATAAGTGGCAACCTCACAAAAAACCCAATAAAAATCCAAAACATATCCATACATTGCTACCATGACCCTATAAACAAAACCAAACCAAATAAAAACATACACCAACTCCCCCCCCAAAAAAAAACCCCAACAAACCCAGTTATAATTTACTTGGGACTAATTCTAAGTAGGAATGGGTAAGAATTGGGAAAGGGAAGGTGAGTAATTTAACAAAACAAATTTGTCAGCTCCAGGGCAGAGGAATAGTCAGATGAATGTTGACTCTTTGTTCATTTACTTTCTTTTGTTAAACACTTATTAAGTTTTTACTATGTACCCTGGGGGTGGGGGTGGGGAGAGACAAAGATAAGGTATTGCCTGTGCCTAGTTAACTGGCTGTAGATAGTTAATAGTGCCTGGCCTGGGATCAACAAGACCAGAGTTCAAATTCAGCCTCAAATATTTATTAGCTGATGTGTGATTCTAGGCAACTCACTTAACTTCTATCTGCATCAGCTTCCTCATCAGTAAAATGGGAATAATAATAGTCTCTCCCTCCCAGGATTGTTGTGAGTACAAAATGAGATAATATTTGTAAAATGCTTTGTCAAGTGCTGTCTATAATCTTAGTTATTGTTGTCTTCATAGTTATGGCTGTCTAGTAGGAAAGAAAGGACTTGTGCCCAGATTAATACAGTACAAATTAGAATGTGATCATTATGCAAGATGAGAACAAAGTGACATGGAATCAAATAAGAGAAAGGCTCTCTCTCTGTCACTGTCTCTCTGCCTCTGTCTCTCTTCTCCCCTTCTCTCTCCTGCTGCAGCCCCTGTTTTCTTATATTACTTTGGCTCTCTCCTTTGTACTAATCATTAGACTATACTTGCTAAACTTATCTTGTCTTCCCTTGTAAGCTCCTTGAAGGCAGAGGTTGGGTCGTTTTTCAACTTTACACCCCCACTCCCACTCCAGTAACCTAGCACAAGGACATACACAAACAGTCTTACATGTTTGTTTAATTTCAGGTTCAAGCCTTCAGGGAAGTGATTCTGTTCCATCTCTGCTCCCTATTCCCTTCCTTTTCCTATGTCAACCCATCTAAGAAATTAGCCCTAGAATTTATGCTGAATTGGGCCTTGCATAACTCACTTAAGTGAAAAATCATTTTAAGAAATGTGCTTACTCCTAGAAGTAGAAGGAGGGCCGGCCATTCGGGAAACCTTCCCTTATCCGACATTTGCTAGGGGCAGTGATCCTCTCTCCCATGATAATAATAATAGTTCACACACATAAAATTCTCACAGGAAGCCTGTGAGGTAGATAGTGCAATTATTTATATCCCCATTTTACAGGTGAGAAAATTGAAGAGAAGTGAAGAAACTTCCCCAAGATTTCGTGGCTAACAAGTTGCAATCCAGCTCTTCCCACCCCTAAAGCCAAGGCTTTCCGCTATCTCATGGTGCACCTCTACGTAGCACACACCTTTCATTACACCTGATTTCTTGCCCTTTTTTAAAAAAAAAAACCTGTCACCTCAAGCTCGGGAACTTCCACGTAGCTCCTGCAGAGTGGTGGGAGAGTGCTCAGTTGGCTGTAATTAAGAAGCCAAGACAGGGGAGGCAGGGGGCAACGGGGCAGGAAATTTGTCCCCGGGCCTGCTCCCGGGTACGGCTTGGCATGTACTTCTGTGGTTTGGCATTTGGACATCTCCTAGATCTTAAAAGTCCTCACCTTTAGCTATAAACTGCTGACTTAAGATTCGTAGCTGATGTGAGGACACTCAGAGGGTAGAAGGCAGGAGACCAGATAGAAATAGGTAATACTGGGGCGGTGGGGAGGGGGGGGAAGGGAGAAGGAGAGGAGAGAAAAGGGGAGAGCGGAGGCTCAGGGGGGAGGGAGGGAGGGAATAGGGTAAGGAGGGAGGGAAGGAGGCAGGCAGGCAGGAGAGCGTTATTCCCAGGCAAGGCAGGCTAGAGGTGTTTCTTGTTTTTCCTCCTTCTTCACTTCCGATCCCAGACACAACCGTAGAGGCAGCTACAAGGAGCTTCCTATCTCAGAGCCCCGGCGGGGCAGAGAGCCCGAGGAGTCAGCAGCCCCTACCCCCCTGGCGCTGGGGCAGGTGACAGAGCCAACATCCAAGGGCGCCCAGCTGCTGGACTCGAGGTGCGCGCTGTCGCTAACAGACCCCAGGGCTGGGGAAGGTAGGAAACAAGTGGAAAGCCGCTTTTCAACCCCGGCTGTGCACTGGGGCAGTGACTGGGGACAAGGGGGACTGGGAGACTCCCCTCCCCCGCCAACCCACGAGTTTGGCAATTTCACCTAACCCACCCCAAGGGATCCGTGACGCTAGGAGCTAAACCGAGGGCACACTCTGAGCTCCAAGCTTAGGCGGAGGCGGCGAAAGAGCCAACCCTCAGAACCCGACACTTGGCGCCCCGAAATCCTCTTTCCCGCTCCGTTCGGGATTCCTGGTGGCCGTGGCAGCTGCTGCGCTGCGCGGAGATTCAGCCCTGGGCTTCAGCACGGAAGCCCCATAGCAGCCGGAGGGCAGCTGCCGGCCTCCCGGCTCAGAGAGGGCATCTGCCCTCGGGGCGCAGGAGCCCTGGGGGAGGGAGGGTGCCAATGGGGCTTCGCCAGGGGCATTCGGGTGAAGTGTCTGTCGCCCAGTGCCCAGCGCCCCTGGAGTCCCTGCCATGCTTTTACCACCCCGACGGAACCGGACCCTATACCCCCACTGCTGCTCTTGCAGCTGCAGCTGCCCCCAGCAGGCGCCTGGGGCCCCGAAGGGGCAGGTGGGAACAGCCGGGAAATTCTGGGGCCGGCGCAGATAGTCACTGCCAGCCTCCTGTCGCTCCTCATTCTCTGGACCTTGCTGGGGAATGTGTTGGTGTGTGTGGCCATCATTCGATACAGACATCTGCGCTCCAAGATGACCAACGTCTTCATTGTGTCTTTGGCCATCTCTGACCTCTTTGTCGCCCTCCTAGTCATGCCCTGGAAAGCCGTAGCAGAGGTGGCTGGCTACTGGCCCTTTGGGGCCTTCTGTAATATTTGGGTGGCTTTTGACATCATGTGCTCTACTGCCTCCATCCTGAACCTGTGCGTCATCAGCGTGGACCGCTACTGGGCCATCTCCAGCCCCTTCCGCTATGAGCGCAAGATGACCCAGAGGGTGGCCTTGATCATGATCAGTGCAGCCTGGGCCTTGTCCATCCTCATCTCTTTCATCCCTGTGCAGCTTCACTGGCATAAAGACCAAGAGGATTTTGCTAGAAACCAGTCCCCTCCATCCACTTTCACCAATGGGACCCCCTGGGGAGAGGAGCCAGAGGAACTCGTGACTGAGGGGGTTGAGAACTGTGACTCAAGTCTCAACAGGACTTATGCCATCTCCTCCTCCCTGATCAGTTTCTACATACCGGTGGCCATCATGATCGTGACCTATACAAGAATTTATCGCATAGCTCAGGTGCAGATCCGGAGGATTTCCTCCTTGGAGAGGGCTGCGGAGCATGCTCAGAGCTGCCGGAGCAACAGAATGGACTGCCAGCATCATAACAGCCTCAAGAGCTCTATCAAGAAGGAGACCAAAGTCCTAAAGACGCTATCTGTGATCATGGGGGTCTTTGTCTGCTGCTGGCTCCCCTTCTTCATTCTGAACTGCATGGTTCCTTTCTGTGACAACCCTGGGGACCCCCAATCTGGCTTCCCCTGTGTGAGTGAGACAACTTTTGACATCTTTGTCTGGTTTGGGTGGGCCAACTCATCCCTCAACCCCATCATCTATGCCTTCAATGCTGACTTTCGGAAGGTATTTGCCAACCTTCTGGGGTGTAGCCACTTCTGTGCTGGAACCCCGGTGGAGACAGTGAACATTAGCAATGAGCTCATCTCTTACAACCAGGACACGGTATTCCACAAAGAGATTGCCACTGCCTACATCAACATGATCCCTAATGTGGTTGACTCTGTAAGTGGAAATGATGATGGTCCCTTTGACAGGATGTCTCAGATTTCCCAAACTTCCCCGAATCATGATCTTGCAACTGATTCAGTGTGCGAGCTGGACTGTGAGGGAGAGATTTCACTGGGCAAAATAATACCCTTCACTCCAAACGGTTTACATTAAACTGCTTAAGGAACTGGCTTCTTGGAATGGTACATTTGCAGATGTTTAAATGCACACATAAACCCAAATGCTCAAACACATACGCACTCCTACACTTGCTGGTCAGGTAACACATGCCTTTTCTGTATTTCTGTCTAGTGTCTGAAGTGCTTAGCAAAACTATGGAAGTGAAAGGAGGAATTTTAGTCCCACTGCCCTGTTTCTTCTTCATCACCAGGGAGAGTGAAATGTTCATGGACATTAAAATGTAGTTTTTACAAACTGTTTGTCCAGTGACTTGTGTTTGGATTGGTTTTTAAAACACCAGAGACCCAAGGGTGGGGTGGGGGAATTTATCTCTGTGTCACTGTCTGTTCTAATGTGTTTGTGCAATCCCTATCATGCTGGGTTTCTTTATTGGCTATGGAATCCTTCTTGATTTGCTCTGAAGGACTAATAAATGTAGGTTATATTGATTATGGGGTTATTTTTCATTTATTGACCTGTTTTTCAATGTGGGGTCCTTCCTTCACTAGAATTATAGGAACCGGTTTTTGTAGAGTGTTAAAAAAAAAAGAGATTTTCCTTGTCAAAAAATATGTTGCTTTTATGTTAGCAGAAAATTCTGCCTTAAAGTTGTACACAGGGATGGATGATTGCTTTAAATTTGCCTCTTCATGCTATTTGCATTTTGAGCTGGGGGCTGGGGTGGGTTGCAATCTTTATGCTGTGATATATGTTTGTGTTATAGTTCTGAGTCAGTACTGCAAATCAATGTTAGGGCTATTGCCCATTTACCAGACATTTTCATTTTTCTTCTATGAATTTTTTCCTTGAAAAATAGTCACAATGGTGAAGATAAACTGTTTCCTTGGTGTTCTAGACATATGCTATTGGTTTATAAAATTGTGCTAAAATATTGCATTAAAATTAAATATGATTAAAATAGTTAATTTCCTATTTAATCTTGGTGAATATAAGAATATTGTGGCTTATTTCCTAACTGTTCTTTCTAAAAAGCTTGGAAATGGGTATGCTTATATAGTTTTAATAAAGCCCTACCGTCTTAATGGAACTTTTCACTTGGAGATTAAGGGAATCCGAGGGCAAAGGGAGTGGACGTATGATTTCATTGGTAAAGAGAACTCCTGGGTGAGGACATTCCCCTCTTCCTGTGTAGCCTGCCACCTTCAATCCTTCAATCCTTTGAGAGTTGCCTAGAGTACTGAGAGAGGTTAAGTGAGCCACACAGTTAAGTATAGGGCAGAGGTGGGATTTGAACACAAGACTTCCTGGCTGTTAAAACTATCTATTACCTCAAACTCTTTCCAAGTGCTTGGAAATATAAAGTCCATTTAAAATAAGTTAGAGGTGCCAAAGATGAAATTTGAATGAGCATATCTAGTACTTGAAAATCTTTGGTTGTGGTGCGAAAAACTGCTCAATCACTTCATTTTGCAATATTCCACACAGTGAAGAAAGTATATTTCATCTCAGAACCATTCCAATTGAGAGCAAGTTATTACCATGATGGATGATGAATGGCAGTGTAATTAATAGAAGGAAATGAAATGTGAAGGTGTGCTTCCACATAAATCCTAGCTTTGAATCAGTCTTCTGGAAAACAGATAATCAATATTTTGCCTTTTAAAAACAATTTTATTTTCAGCCTTTTAAAGTGCTACATTTGGCATCATTAGTGTTAAGGACAACCCTGGTTTTTTTCTTTTCTGTTTTGTGTATTCGATTTCTGAGAACCTTAGAATGTCAGAGTAGGAAGGTACCTTAGAAGAAAGAACATAGAACATCAGAGCTGGAAATAATAACTATCATTTATATAGCACTTTAAGGTTTGTTACAGATGCTATTTCTTTTGATCCCTGAACAACTCTGTGGGTAGGTGCTATTGTTTTCCACATTTTACTGATGAAGAAACTGATGCTGGAAGGGGTTAAGTGACTTATCCAGGGCCACAAAGCTAGTAGTTGTCTGAGGCAGGATTTGGATCCAGATTTCCCCGACTCCAAGAGCAGACCACCTAGCTAGAAAGAGCTTTAGAAGACAGAACACAGGATATCAGAGCTAGGAGGGACCTTAGAGATTATTGGGCACAAACCCTTTATTATACAGATGAGGAAATTGAGAAATGATATGTCCAAAGTCACACAGAGAGTTTGCTAGAATAAGTCTCCTGATTGCCAATCTAGTGGTCTTTTCATTAGAATATACTTTATTGAACCCTATGGCATGCTTGATTTGATTCTATCACTTGTGCTGGTCATGAGAAAAGTATTATTTTGGGGATTTTTCCTTCTGGTGGTTGTGGCAAAATCTCATTCTTAGAGAGGCTTTTTTCAAGGCCTCAGGATATAACTTTCTTCAGTGATGTGGAATTAGCTGCTTGAGAACTCTGGAAATCTTGCCACTAAATTATTTTTAAAAATGAGTATTCCTAAAACTGCAACTGCAGTTATATGTGGGTCAATAAGTGCGTTTGTTCATTCATTCAACAAATATCAATCAAATGCTTTTATGTGCACAGCTCTATGTTTGCTGCTATAATTGCATATTACTGCATCTACTTCTAAGTAACACAGTACTTTATTCAAAGAATTGTGGTCACATCGTCCTCTCCATTGAGGCTGATACTCAACTAACTCTACCATTCATAATTTGTTCATAGAATCATAGGTTTGGAAGGCACCTAGAGAGGAATTATTATTTAATTGTGTTATATAGACACCATCATCACCCTGATCAAATATATACAAGATACTTCAAAAAATGGTCTCTGAGCTCAAGGAACATGTCATCTAATTTGGGACATAGGACATAGGATGTGTAAAAAGATATGTAACAACATAGCATCTGTGCTATGTTAGCATGGGGAACTCTCTTCACCTATAAGTCCAAGGGAGTCACTTGAGGCAGATAGAGGTTAAGTGACCTGCTGAGGATCACACAGCTAGCAAGTCACATAAAACTCACAAGGCCACTTCAAGCAAAAGTTTTTAGTGGAATATGTTAAGTCCCAGGTGACTTATGCAGGAGATCAGAGGACAGAGAGGGAGTTGCGGGTTGGGGTATTGGAGAAAGTTCTGTGGAAGAGATGAGACTACAGCTGGACTCCGATGGAATTTAGAGCAGTGGTCCCAAGCTCAAATCACAGATTTGTTTTAAATTTATAAGTTATTGGTTTGTGCTATTATAAAAAACTTTATTCCTCTACCCCAAATCTTGTTAATCTTATAATTTATGCACACAGGCTCAAAATCCAAGAGTCATCTTTGACTTTTCCCTTTACTTCCTCCCTCCACCCACGCAATAAATTAATTGCCGAATCCTTTGGATTATAAATTCACAATTCTTCTCGTATCCATCCACATCTTCCCTTCTGTTCATTCTACCACTCTAATGCAAGCTGTTATAAGCCTTCACCTATGCTCTTGTAATAGCTGCATAAAGGTCTTCCTGCTTCTGGTCTCTCACTGTTCTGACCTATGCATCGGAGACCTTTCAAATTAGCTATCCTAATGCGTGGGTCATGAGACCCAACTCAAACTTGGACAAAAATCCTCTGTACAACACTCTCAACATCCAGCATCCACTTGAAAACCTTCAGTGATGGGGACACCCACTACCCTTTTGACAACCCATTCCACTTCTGGCCAATTCCAATTTTTAGGCAATCAGGAACATGGGGAGTTGTAAGCTGAAGAAGAGATTTTGGGGTAGGAGAGGGACACAGTAATTGTCTTCAAGTATCAGGAAGAGGGACTAGATCTGTTCTGTGGGACCTCAGAGGGCAGGAGGATGACCTCTGGAGCACCGCTTTGTGTAGAACTTCTTTTGGTACAACACCCAGCCCTCACCAAATGTGCCTCTCTACGGGGTTGTCTTTATTTCACATGCTTGCTAGAGAGCAATCTCTTGACTGTTATCTTTTAAATTCCAATAATGTAAACTTTATTGTGTTCTAAAGAAGTCTGACTTGGCACATTCCACTTTGTTTCAGCCAGTTCTTCTTGTTATCTTAGAGTGCAGCGTCCAGAATGAGCAACGAGGGACTACTTTAATCAAGCTGAAGACAATCTCGGGGAGTGTATCCAGGACACCACAAGGTCTGGAAACTGCACCATGGGAGGATGGATGAAAGGAACTAGGGACCTTTTAGTCTGGAGAAGATTACACTTAGAGGGAAACACAACCATTGTCTTCAAACACTTGAAAGACCGGTGAAAGAGGGAATGGATTTAGTTTGTGTTACTTCAGAGATGGGAAGTAGGACCAATGGGCTACAGTTACACCAAGTCAAATTATGCCTAGCATAAGCAAGAATATTTTCTAACAATTAGTGCTGTACAGGAATGGAACACTGCTTCACGTGGTAGTGACCTCTTCATTACTGATGATAGAATCTGAGAGTCAGAGATCATCTAGTACAGCCTTTGTTTGCATAATGACAGCTAACATTTTAATTTCATCCTAAGGCTTGCAAAGTGCTTTACAGATATTAACTCATTTGATCCTCACAATAACCCTGGGAAGTTGGTGCTTTTATCATCCTTATTTAAAGATAAGGAAACTGAAGATCAGAGAGGTTAAGTGACTTGTCCAGGATAACACAGCTAGGGAATGTCTGTGGCAGTATTTGACCTCAGGTTTTCCTGACTCCACTTCCTATACTATATATGCTGTACCATCAAGCTGCCTTTAATAGGAATCTGCTCTATAACATCCTCCCAAGAAGTGGTTTTACAGCTTCTACTTCAGTGATGGGGAATCCACAACCACATTAGGCAGCCTATTACACTTTTAAGATAACTCTGTCACAAATATTTTTTTTACATCAAGCTAAACCCATTATTTCCTTCCTTCCTTCCTTCCTTCCTTCCTTCCTTCCTTCCTTCCTTCCTTCCTTCCTTCCTTCCTTCCTTCCTTCCTTCCTTCCTTCCTTCCTTCCTTCCTTCCTTCCTTCCTTCCTTCTTTGGCAATCAGTGCTAAGTGACTTGCCCAGGGTCACATAGCTAGTAAGTGTTTGAGGCCAAATTTGAATACAGGTCCTCCTGACTTGAGGGCCAGTACTCTATCCACTGTGCCACCTAGCTGCCCCCTTTCTACAGTTTCTACCCATTGCTCCTGGTTCTGGCTCCTAGGATCAAGCAGAGGAAATCTAGTCTTTTTTTCACATGATAATTCTCCATATACTTGAAGACAGCTATCATGTATCTTCTACAGTAATTTTTCAGAGTAAAAATCCTCAGTTCCTTTAATTACTCCTTTTGTGGCTGGGTGACTGCCTATCAGGGATATTATAGAAGAGATTCCTGCATTTGATAAGAGATTGGGTCAACTGATTTCCAAAGTCCTTTTGGACTCTGAGATCCACCTCTGAGCATTGCTTATACTCAAAATCCATTTGGATGCTAGATGAATCAATAAATTACATCATGTTTTCCTAAGCATATGACTGACTATGGACTCGGTTATATTCACTTTCCCAAAGCACATTTGCCTCAGTTGATAAATGTCACTTTTTGGGAGTTCACTCCCACATCCATCCCATCAAGTGGCCACTAATTGACTTAGAGCTGCTCTGTCCCATGTGACATTAGGGAAGATGACTGACCTGGACACTGTCTCTGAAGAGAAATTAATTTATTAAAAAATATACTAATCATAGATTTTATCCACCACTTCCTCCAATGCTAAAATTGCTGTTTATCCTTAAATGTCTGTTGATTGCTCTTAGATTCCTTTTAGTAGAATGTATCACTACATCCCAGAGGCCACTACAGGAGCAGTTGCTATGAATATTGTTGTACATATGGGTAATTTTCCTCACTTTTTGATTTCTTTGGAGTTATAGGCCTACTACTGGTATTGCTGGGTCAAAGGATATTCACAGTTTGGTAAATTTCTGGATAGAGTTTATAAATTGCCTCTAGAATAATAAGACCAATTC